TGTGATAATGATCGCGGTATAACCAGCTAGACTGACTAGACACAGGGGGTCACGATGACCAGCTGGCAATTGCAAGAAGCCAAGAACCGGTTCAGCGCCGTTGTCGAGGCCGCGCTCACCGGAGAGCCCCAAGAAGTCACACGCAGGGGCAAGCCGGTCGTAGTGGTACTGGCCTTTGAGGAATACCAGAGGCTGCGCGAAGCCAAGGCCGGGGACACACCCTCATTTGTGGACCATCTGCTGACCATCCCGAAGGGCACCGAAGAAGACGGCTTTGAGCTACCCGAGCGTACCAAGGACTACACGTCCAAGGCCATAGAGATCTGAATGTACCTCCTGGACACTGTGGTCATCTCAGCACTGCGACGACCGGAACGACACGCCCCAGTCGCCCACTGGCTGCAAGCCCAAGCCCCTCAAACACTCTACATCAGCGTCGTCACAGTGGGAGAAATCATGTACGGCGCTGCGCGGCAGAGAAGGACACAACCGGCATTTGCCCAGCTGCTGGAGCGCTGGCTGGAAACTGTGATGACCTCGTTCCACGACCGGGTGCTGCCGCTCAATGAAGCGGCAGCCAAGCGCTGGGGTCTCCTGCACGCGGAACTGGGCTACACCAATTCCGACCTGCAGATAGCTGCCACCGCGCTGAACCACGACTTGACAGTGGTCACTCGCAACGTACGGGACTTCATCTCCACAGAGTCAGGGTGCTGAACCCATTCGATGGAAACGACGGGTGAGTACCCAGAACCCAATACGCAAGGCGACCGGGAATCCGTCCAAGAGACCAGGGCCGCCTACGCTACGGCAGCACGCTGGCAATAGAACATAGTGACACCCGTCAATAACCAAGGTGTCGCCTTGAGCCAGCCGGGCATCCAGCGAGTGCCAGCCCCGCCGGCTGTTGGTACGGTACCGGAGACACCGACGTCCTGATAGATGTGAGAAAGCTCCACGCCGGCAGTCAGCAACAGCTGGCGTTGGGTTTACGGGTCGCTGCCCGACAGCTCGGAGACTCTGGGGCGGCTGGTGCGGACGTAGCCGTAGGTCTCGGGCATCGCTCTCCCTCCAGCTGGTGCGGATTGCACTATACCTTTGTGACACACCCCTGAACAAGCTGAAGGAAGCGAATTGTGGCCCAGTGTCACAAACGCGCGTTTGTGAACCACCCCAGCCAGGGCGATTCATCCACAGGGACCGCTCCGGATCTGACCAGCAGCTAGTCCGAGGAGGTGAACCGGCAAAACTGATTGACGCCAACCGGCAAATATAGTTGACGCGGGACAACACTCGCCGAACGCGAGGAACTGAGGCGAGTGGGACGGGAGAACAACGCCACGGCGGGCCTCGTCTGCCCGGCGCACGTGAAAGCCGCCTTCAACTTCGAATTCGACGATATCGACATCGATGTTCCTTTGGAGGAACTCCTGGTTGAGGCGTCCAAGGAAACTCCCCGTTGGCGCGTGATGTTGACCCCGTTACCGATAGCTGCGGCTGAGCCGGACAGCGAGTCCACGCTAGGCCGGGGAGACAGGGTTATCTAGTCCAGCCACGCCGGCCCATGGCTCCGTGGAGAGGTCAGGCATTTCCAGAATGCAATGACGGGACGGTCTGGCCGGTCATGTGGCTACATCCGGCGGGAGGGTTTCTTTTGGCTATAATCCTTTCAGCCTTCGGAACAGGAGCCTTTGATTATGGCCACCCCGCCCGAATCCGTTGAAAACTATTGCTTGAAGTGCCGGGCCAAGACCGGCTCAATGGATGTTGAACAGGTGACCATGAAGAACGGACGTCCCGCCCTCCGCGCTGTCTGCACAGTGTGCGGCACAGGCAAATACCGCATCGGCTCTGCCGGCTGACTGACAGCGGGAGGATGAAGGCCAAGCGCCCCCCTACTCCTGTACTGAGGGCTTGATCATGACTTTTGAGGCCGCCTTCCAGAAGCTTGAGAAACAGTTCAAGAGGATGGTGAAGGAGGAGAACGAAAAATATGGCGCAAAGAGCGTATTTCTCCCCAATGTCGCTCCACTTGGCCCTGTGGACTTTGTCCTCATTGGGGCAGAACCGTCAAGAGGGTCCTGGGCGCGCACGGACGAGGAAGCCTGCGAGAAGATAGCGAAGGGATTTCGGAACTTCGGGGGTTGCCTGCGCTGCGACCCACTTCATTATTGCGTGGACGAATTCCTGTGTCGAAGGAGCGGCAGCTACTATCTGACCGACCTGGCAAAGGGAGCGGTCTCCGGTACCGTCTCCTGGCGGGAAGGGATGCAAAAGTACGAGCGGTGGTACGGTCTCTTGCTGGAGGAACTGAAACTGGTGGCAAAACCGAATGCCGTAATCATATCCATAGGAGACAGGGCGGCTGGATTCTTAGTACGGCGCGGACTGAGAGGCCATATCGGGAAGATCCCGCACTACTCGGGCAGGTCAAGGAACTTGGGAAAGATGGCGGAGGCTTTCCCGTGCCAGTGGAAATCATTTCTTTCCGCACCGCTCGACCTGCCTCCTGGAAAGACAGTTTCTGAAGTTAAGAAGAGATGGATGTTCGACTACAAGATACTGTTCGAGAGGTTTCGCCTCGGCGGCCATGCCGACTGGCGTCCTTCACAGGAGGTCGCTTTAGTAGGCACGTCCAGTTCACTCCGTCCTCCGTGTGCTTCGTGTGAGGCTTAGAGCGGAGACCCGATCAATCCCCTCGGCCCGCCGGGCGACCTCCGCAACCTCATCTCTCCCAACAACCACGACGACAACTCAACACCAAACAACTGCCCGCATTCTGCCTTTTCCCAATCTGCGACTGTAGTACTAAGATGTGGGATGATGAAGGCGAGCAGGGGAAGGGAAAACCTGAAGGCCTAGAGGGGCGGAGGTGCTCAGCGCCTGCCAGCGGCAGTTGTCTCTGGTAAACCTCAACGCCGCCGGCATCGACGTGGGTGCCACCAGCCATTTCGCGGTGGTGTCCGCCGACCGTGCCGAGCCGCCGGTGCGAGAGTTTGTGGCCCTCAATTTTTCATATGCGATAGCCCTGTGCTGGTTCAGGCGTTTTGTTGATCGAGGCGTTCTTCCAGTTCGCGGACACGGGCCTCGGCAGCCAGGCGCAGGGCGCGCTCGCGGTACAGGTCCGCGAGTTCCGCGGTCATTGTCGAGAGACGCCGGTCCAGCCGGGCGTCGTAGAAGTCCAGCATTCCGTTCCGGTATGGGTGCGGATTAACCTTGTGCCATTGTAAATGCACGTCCAGAACATGGCTGTAACCCTGCCGGAGTTCCGCTCCCAGCTGCTCGATGGCGATGGGCTGATAGCGGCCATCCACCAACCTGTCTCCGGCCAGATACTCTCCGTTGTATTCTCCCGTGGGATCGAATCGCCAGTATTCGAGTATGCCCAGGGCGGCGTAGGCTTCGCGCTTCACCGTGGCGTCCAGGTTCCCACTGGCGTAGGAAGCGATTTCCAGCACGAAGTCCGGCGGCTTGCCCTGTTCGGAGATGACGTAGCCGTTGCGTTTATCGATACTCTCCTGACTGGCGTTGAAGGACACGAACAGGTCGGGAGCAAACAGTCCGGTGGCGTCGTCGGTAACGACTGGACTGACGTAGCACCAGCCGGACATGACCGTGGTATCCAGACGGCCCAAGTAGTGACTCAGGAAATAAGTGTTGCCGTCTCCCGACAGGTGGTCGGCGGCCACGCCGTCCCGGATCTCATCAGGCGGATCAGGAAGGAAGAGATCCGGTTGGGGATCCAGATATGTGGCGCGGGGAACGCTCATGGACCACCTCTTTGACCACTGTTTGCCAGGTTAGGGATATGGCGGTTTTCCAGCTGTCGGCATTTTGGCCGGAGCAGCGGCTGGCCGCATGGCCAGCGGCGCTCATGGCGTCTTTCATTGGCTGCTGGCTGTCCTTGGTCGGCCATCCTGCCTGGAAAACCTCTTTGAGTGCGTCATAGGCGAGAGGAGGGTCTTACGTGGTGCTGGCGGACCGCAGGGCGGCCAGCGCCACGTCCTTGGCGACCTTCTCCATTCGGCTGTGCATATGTGCGCTCTCACCGTTCAGCGTTCTTGGATGTTATGACCGTCTGCGTGCTTGGTCAACGGTGGAGCTTTTGTGGTTGTTCTCTCTCGGACGGTTCGGGACGAGTTGCCTTTATCCGCGGAGAGACACTTTTGCCGGAGAATAGCATTGCCGGTTCCGTTTGCTTGCAGCGTATATCCTCCGGAAATACATTCGCCCTCCTCAACCACACGCTACAAGCAAAAGGAACCACCGGCCGGTCTGGCCGATTCTGTAACCACATCCGGCGCGAGGGTCTGTTTTTGGCTATAATCCTGGCAGCCTTCCCAACAGGAGCCTTCGATTATGGCCACACCCCCTGAATCCGTTGAAATCTACTGTCTGAAGTGCCGAGCCAAGACCGGCTCGAGGGATGTTGAACAGGTGACCATGAAGAACGGACGTCCCGCCCTGCGTGCTGTCTGTACTGTGTGCGGCACGGGCAAGTACCGCATCGGCTCCGCCGGCTGAACATGGCAGAGATCCAGTTCAGTATGCTTGCTCGTGCTTGTTACAAAGGCAGAAATCCCAGTGAGGAGCCGCTGTAGAGGAACAGCAGCATCTACGGGACGGAGCGTAACAAGGCGGCAGTCACCGGCAACGGGCGTTCCACCTCCGAAGATGCCAGAGCCAAACCCAGCCTTTTGTATCCCGAGACTTCAGCGATGACTCAGTTCCAGACTTCTCGCAGCCCCGCAACTGCATGGGAATCGGTCCTCCCGTGCGCGCCGGTTCCATCAAGTCTCACCGGAAAGGACGGCAATTATGGAAAAGTTACATCGGGAAGGCAATTTCCGATTTCACACTTCAGTCCAGCGATGGACAGAGGATATCCTTTGTCAGCCTTCGAGGCCACAAGGTCCTGCTGTACTTCTTCACGAATCCGGGAGGCGGTAATTGAACCCGCATGGCTCTTGGGTACCGAGAGCATGCTGCCGAGTTCGCCGAGAAGAACGTCGTGCTGTTCGGAATCCATGACGGAAGCTCGGATGCTGCCCGCCAGTGGGTCGAGAAAGAGCATCTTCCGTTCGCCATCCTGAATGACCCTGACCGGCGAGTAGGCATTGAGTTGGGCATGTCCTCTCCAGGTGGAGAGAGGTACGTCAAAGACCCGTCAGATGGGAAAAGGCCCGCAGTTGTCATCGACGAACACGGTGTGATCTGCGAGTGGGAACCCGACATGAACCACACCGATCAGATCACCAAGCTGCTGGAGCGTCTGTAGGACGACCTCAACGGTGTGGGCTTTTCGACTGCTGCCCTCCCTTGCGCAGCCGGCAAACCGTGATTCGGCCCGGACTGTGGCTCAGCAGGCCGATGAAGAACCTGCCGGGGGTGGCGAGACCCTGGCGTTAAACATGGAGTGCCGCCCCACCTCCTGTCCCCGTGCCCGCAAGCCGGGCCCTGAGCATC